GGGTGGGGGGACGCGGGAGGCGGGGTTGCAGGAGGTGGGGGCGCAGAATGCCCAGATCATGAGTCAAGCCACAGCTGCATGTGGGATTGGCTCAGGCTGGCCACCACCCAGCAACTGAAACGCTGAGCATTGGAAACCCGCGGTTGTATGGTGGCATCCGTTCACAACCTGACCGTTACAAGCTGTGGAAAGTCATACCATTTGCACTCCGAACAGCACGTGCATAGTGCATAATCCTTCCCTGGCAATCCCTGTGCAATTCTATAGTCACAGGGATTGCAACTCTATAGTCACAGGGCAGAGCAGGCAGATATGCAAGCACGCCCAAATCTCGATATGACATCTACATAAAAAGTACACCAACGTGCAGCGCAACGCACCCGCGCCGAGCACCTGCACAGGACAATGTAGCCCAGCAGGCCGCGCTCGCCCGCCGTCGGCCAGCTTTCAGCCCTGGCCCCGGGGGGTTGGCTGTGCCAGCACCGCCATGCGCGCAGGGGCACCGGGTGAGCAGTGACATCGCGGCCAGCTTGCACCCTTCCTGTTTGGGGGCGTGCCATGCATAAAAACCATTTCAGCTAGCACGCCTGGACCGGTCCCCTGAGCATTATTGAATCGCGGGCGTTGGCTTATCCTCATCCGTACCCTTGAACAGGCCACCCTACCCCAAAAGAGAGCCCCCCTCCCGTGTCCCATGCGCGGTTGGACAAACAACAGTACTTCATCTCCCCGCCCGACACCAACCCCCACCCCCCCTCAAACACACACACACGCGCGCACACACATACACACACAATGACACAAACCACACACACGCGCACAAACACACCCACACACCCAACCCCCCCACCTGTGTCTCGTCAACTTCCTGCTTTGTGAGGTTGACGTCCCCCGTGAGCTCCCGCACCACGATGCTGTACGCCTCAGTCAGCCGCTTCGTGAAGATGCCCACCATCTCAGCCACCAGCGCCTTGGGGAGGGGGGGGGGGCGGCGGTGACGTTGAGCGGTTGGTCGCGAATTCAGCACTGCGCGGAGCCACGCCGACGGACCAAGCGGACGCGGCCGTGGAAGCGGCAAGACCCAGCCGCCCTCGAGCCCGGCGTCCCGATGTCCCCCCCCCTCCCCCCGCGACCCAAATCCTCCAGAAGCACTGCTTCAACATCCTTTCCCACTGCACGCCCCCCCCCCCCAAAATCGCCCATCCCCACGGTACCCCCAAAACCCTAGCTCCGGCACCAAAGGGCTTGCCCCCCCCCTCCGCACCTTCATGGGTGCTATGTGCACGATCTTGAATGCGGCCTTGTTTTTCTCCCCGTCCTTGCCCCTGTGCAGCCCCAGCTGGTGCATGATGGTCTGGATTGGTCATGGTCACATTGGTCTTGCCAGCACCTGGGAGGGGGCAAGAGAGAGAGAGAGAGAGAGAGAGAGTGTGTGTGTGTGTGTGTGTGTGTGCGCGCGCGCGTGCGTGCGTGCGCGCGCGCAAACGCGCACGTAATCATGTTTGATCCCTCCTCAGGCCTCTGGTTGCCCACCGCAAGCCCCCAATCGGACCCCATGACTAACACACCAAGCACCAAGAACAGAAGAGCCCCCCAAAGCCTCCCAAAACCCTGCAAAAACGACAATCAGCCTGCAAGACACACGGTTTCTCAGGGCGGCCGCCCCAGGTGACGTTGCCACCCACCCGTGGTGGCGCAGATGAGCATGTTCTCTCCGCTGACAGCGCCGCGTCGCACACCGCGCTCTGCAGCCTGTTGAGCGGCTCCATGCCCGCGAACGCGGGGCGCGCCCAGTCCGGCAGCGCGGCGATCTCGCGCAGCGCCTCGCCCTCCTCATGGGCTTGGGCTTGAGGGCCGGCACGTGCACCTCCTCTTAGCCCTTGATGGAGGTCCTGCAAGGGGGGGGGGGGTTGAGGGTTTTGTGGGGTTTCAGGCGCTCAGGATTTTGACGTTTGAGACGTGGTGGTGATGATGCGAGTGGGTGGATTTTTGGAAGGTCAAGAGGGGCCCCCGAGGGGGGGGGAGGGGTGGGTGTGCTGGGTGAGAAAAGGCATGCCATAGGTTTGGGCAATTTGCGTGGCCCAGGGCGGGAAGCTTTTGGCACTCCAGGCGTGCACGTCAGTCTGGGGGATGGGACAGGCA